TCTTCCCACCCACCTGTCCCTTCCGGTGTCTTTTTACAAGGACACCAGTGGGACTGGACTGAGGGTCACCCACGTTCAGTGGGACTTCATCGTAATTAATATCAGAGATCCCATTTCTGAGATTCTGGGCGGACACGAGTGGCAGTCATCACTTTCCTTAGTATGACAACCCTTTCTTCTACTTACATTTATCTTGAGTGTGTGCATATGGCACGTGGCGCTCGGAGGACAACTGTGGCGGTCAGTTCTCGCCTTCCTCCATGGGAGTTCTGGGGATCAAACTCTGGTCATTAGGCTGGTGGCAAGCTCCTTTACCCACTCAGCCATCTCACCAGCCCCACCCCTTTCTTGTCTTACATCACACCCTGCTTTCCCAGCCCCTTACATTGTTCCCCATGACCCTTTATATGAGGAGGGGGCTGGTCCAGATATCAATGGTTCAGGAAGATTCAGCTAGCTTTATAAGAGAGACCTGAAGTCTGGGTCCGAGCCTTGAGTGCTGCCCTCACAGGGGAGTAAAGTTGTGGGAGAAGAGGCAGCTAAAAGGCCTTTGGAGCCCCGCCAGCACCTCCCCTTCCCGTGATGGGTCTGTCACAGGGTTCCTTCTGGTACATCCAGCCCTATCCCTATGCCATCCCTCTCCAGCACAGTGTGTCCTCCATCCAAGGATTCTATTAATATCCCTCATGTGTATGCCACTCACCATCTCTGTTCTCACATGTGCCCCCTGTTCATGAATGTGGTCCCTCCTAGAGTGGCTGGCACCCTCCTTCTCTCCTGTACACCCTCTCTTCTTCCCACCCCCAACACTCATGGTTGGCTTGTCATCATGGGGCCCATACTTGCATTGAGGGGTAGCCTCAAAAGAGATAAAGTCATGTCTTAACTGATGGAACTTGGACACAGGACTATATTTGAAAGAAATGTCCTTGAATATACAATGAAATAAAACATCAAAAAATAAGGTCACCCTGGCTACAAGGTAGATCCTAAATCTAATGGAAATTGTCTTTTTTTTTTTTTTAAGCTGTGAGACAGGACTTTATATAGCCCAGGCCTCACTGCATAGCCGTAGCCAAAGATGACCTTGAAATCATGATTGTCCTATCTCTTTATCCCAAGTACTAGGATAACAGATGCATGCTACCTCTTCTGGGATTTGCTCACTGGGGACCAAATCCAGTGTCTCAGACACTCAGCAAGTACTGTGCCAACTAAGTTACAGCACCAGCCCTTAAGGGGCAAGTGAAGGGGATTAAGAGAGTCTTAATAAGTAGACTAGGCTGACCTAGAACTTGCTTTGTGGCCCCAGCTGGCCTCAGACTTGCAGAGCCCTCAGAGGTCAGAGAGGGCATCAGGTGCCCTGGAATTGGAATTATAGATGGTTGTATTGTGTCTCCAACACTGCATAAACCAAGAGTATAAGAGTATGTCTGTAACCCCAGCACCGAGGAGGGAGAGCCTGAGGATTGGGTGTTCAGGGTTGACTACATAGGGAGTTCAAGGCCAGCCTGGGTTACATAAGGTCCTGTGGGAAGGGAGGTCTGGAAGTCTTGGACCTGCCCATCCTGAAGAAGCCTTTAAGGCTAGATGCCATGCTTAGTCTAGTGAGAATAATCCGCTTTGCTTCAGACCCCACTGCACAGCTGGCGTTACTAAAGCTTTTTGCTTAAAAAGATGACCTGACCAGCGTGTTCCTCTCAGACCTGAACTTTAACACAGGCAGGGGGTTTGACAAAGGATGGGCTTGGAGGCAAGTGGTCAAAAGTAAGGAGGTCAGAGGCTCTCTCCACAAACTGCTTTGTCTGGAGATCTGAGGAACAGACAAAGAAGCTGGCTCTTTTCTGGTCAGCTACCATTGCCTCACAGAGGCAGAGTCTACTTCCAGGTCCTCTGGAGTCACCTGGGTCTGTTTTAAACAATGGAAAAGGTTGGAGCAGACTCCATGTTGATTGCAGGCCCAGGCCATACCAGGTTCAAGTAGTTGTAAGCACCATGTCGGTGTTACAAACTGAACCTGGGAGCTGGGCGTTGGTGGCGCACACCTTTAATCCCAGCACTCAGGAGGCAGAGGCAGGCGGATCTCTGCGAGTTGAGGCCAGCCTGGTCTACAAAGGGAGTTCCAGACCAGCCAGGGCTACACAGAGAGACCCTGTGTCAGAAAAAAAGGAAACTAACCCTGGGTCCTCATCACCACCATTAGAGAGCAGCGCAAGCTGGCCACAAAAAGAGGTCGCACAGTGACAATTGATCAGATATCCAATGGCCACCCTCCCCCAGATGGCGCCTAGAAAAGTCTTCAAGACACTCCAGCAGCTGTCTCGGGTCACGCACGTGCCAAAGAAAGACAGCAAATGGGAGGCCCACGGCAGAGGCCTACCAGATGCCGCAGCTGGTAGACGCACTTGAAAACCTGTCATTGTAGGCCACCACACCACTTGGGTGACTTTTTATGTAGAAGACAATCACCCAAACAATCGAAGAGTGGGAGTGTGCCTCACGAACAGAACTCCTGCTGCAGTGCTTGTCTGGGAGGCTGGAAGAACTGGGTTCGATCTCCAGCCAGCATAAAACAGGCCTGTTGGTGCACACCTGTGGTTCCCATGCTTGAGAAGTGGCATCAGGAAGATCTGGCATTTTAGGCCAGCCTGGGCTATGAGACCCTGTTTTCTACATTCCTTTAAGCACAGCACTCAGGAAGCAGAGACAGGTAGATTTCTGTGAGTTCAATGTCAGCCTGGTCTGCAGAGTGAGTTCCAGGTCAGCTAAGAACTCACAATAAGACCTCATCTCAAACAAGCAACAACAAAATAAATGGGTTCTAAAAGAGGGTGTCAGTTTCCCTGGAACTGGGGTTAAAGATAGTTGTGAGCCACCATGTGGGTGCTGGGGACTGAACCTGGGTCCTCGGGAAGAGCAGTCAGTGCTCTAAACCACCTCAGCCACCTCTCCAGCACCGGGGATTATTTCTATTGTGTTAATCAAGGTGAGAAGACCTACCCACTGTGGGTAGCACCGTTCCACGGATGTGACCCTGGGCTGTGTAAGCGGAGAGAGAATGAATGAATTCATCACTCTGCTTCCTGAGTGTGGATGAGATGTCACCAGCCCCTTCAAAGGCCTGCTGCCGTGACACAGGCTGAATGACAATAATGCTGACAGAGATGTGGATGCCATCTCAGGGCAGCATGGGCTCTATTAGGAAATTGGCTGAAGGCCGTTTGTAAGTATGATATTTTGGCCAAGAATCTGGACACGTTCTGTCTGTGTCCTGAGAACTTAGTGAAGCTGGATTTGGGGGAGGTAGACTAGTTGTTTCTCAGAAGGAAATTGTGTGAGAAAGATTAGTGACCCAGGGCTCTGCACTGGGATGGAAGTGGGGCATGACTTGATGTTTAAGGGCTTCAACTCATCACGATGAAAATTCATCTACAAGGAGAAGGCCTGAGCCAAGACTGGAGCTGAAGGTGTTCTCTGCCCCTCAAAAATAACTACCTAAGACACTGTTTCCCTAGATCAGACCCATGTAAACATGGGTCTATGGAGCCCAGACTCCACCCCAAGCTTGCAGAAGAATCTGATAGTTTTCTTCAAATGTGACTGGTTTTGGAGTCATGAGCTTCTCTTCCTCTTCTTCCTCCTCCTTCTCTTCCTTCTCCTCCACTCTGTCAAACAGCCCTGGCCGACCTGGAACTCGCTCTGTAGACCAGGTTGGCCTTGAACTCACAGAAATCCACCTGCCTGTGCCTTCTGAGTGCTGGGATTAAAGGGGTGCGCCACCACCTCCTGGTGAGTCATGAACTTCTATCTCCTTTCTCCGTCTCTGCCACAACCCTCTGCCACTCCTGGTCATTGTCCTTCACCACCCTGACACTTGTTAACACAGATTCTGCAGAAGGGGTAGTGTCATTGGTCACCATTTGGGAGGTGTATGTCCCAGGGCCTTCTTCCATCAGAACCTCAATTCTCATTTGAGGTGAGAGGCTGGTGTGTCAGGGAGGAGTCACTCCTGGGTGATCAGATAAGAGCACTGGGGAGAGGCTCTTCCCACACCTCTAGTGTCTAGGCACCTTTTCTCTTCCACTCATGGTGGGGGAGGAGACTTTGGCACCTGGAGATGCCCCACAAGGCATTCCTACATGACCTCATATCTGGGCCAGGCTCTCAAAATTCTATCCTAATCAGTTCTCATTAAGAGATGGAAAGAGGGATGGAATTCCAGAAGTTCCTTGTCATGTCCTTGTTTTTAATCAGTTGACACTGGAAAGTGATCATCCAAGGTTTTGAGGGGGATGTTAGGGAGTGAGATGGGGGCATCAGACTGGCGTGTGAACTGCCTCACATAGTCCCTTCTGGCCTAGAAGTGGGTTGAGGAGAGATTGGCAGAGTTTGTGTGATGCTCACTTGTGGAGATCAGAACCACGGACAGCTACCAGGGTTCCGGGAAGCGATGCAGTCCAGCTGTCCAGCCAGGTGCTAGGAAGCCAGGCAGGGCCTAGATTGCAGGTTCTGAGGACACTCTCCCTGGGAGACTGGTGATGGTGGGTGTTGTCTGGGAGTGTTTTCAATGAGTCACCCCATAAGCCCCACACTCCTGCCGCAGGCTGGGGAAGCTGGGGTTCTCCCTACCGTTTCCAATAGGGGTGGGGCAGGATGCTAAAGGCACTCAGATTATTGCATGAAAGGAGGGAGCAGGAAACAGGGACATGTTAGTGTCCCCCGCACACTCCTACCCTAGCCCAGCCCATTTCTATACAAGGCCCTCTCTCCACAACCTCCACCCACAATGAATACTCCACACAGGCACAGAGGGGGGAATTCTCAGGCCCTGAGCTCAGCAGGCAGGAATGTGGCTGATAAATCAGAGATAACCCCACCCCCTACTCCAGGAGAGGGTTGGCCAGACATCCAGCCCCAGGATAAAAGGCAGAAGCTCTGTGGCCGAAGAAGCCAGAACACAAGCTGTTTGAGGAGGTGGAAGGGAGGAGAGAGCGGGCACCACCACAGCAGCCTGGCCCATCACTTCTGCGATATGGATCTCCAGAGGGTGCTGTCCCAGATGGTTCTGTTCCTGCTTTTTCTTTATCTGTCTCCACTGGGAAGTCATGCCCACCCTCTGGGAAGTCCCAGCCAGTCCCCGGAACAATTCAAGATGCAGGTGAGTGCTGAGGGGCTGCATAGACGGATGGGGTCTGCCTGGAGGGTTTGGACAGCAGCAGCCTTGTGAGACTCAGGAAGCGGCAAGACTGGGTACCAGGACTCTTAACCAAAGGGCACCATGGAGGAGTGGGAGAGCCAGGTGTGTGTTTCTGAGGCCTGGGTTCCCCAATCTCATCACAGACGCTGCTGAATCTGCTGAGGGAAAAGGCAGAGGAGGCGTCTCAGGGGAAGCTCCTGAAGGACCAAGGCGTCACAAAAGCACCTTCCAAAAGCACCCTTGGGTCCCAAGACAGCACCTTCCAGGTCCTGCAGAAACTTCGGAACTCCAAGAAGATGCCTAATTCAAGCTGCTTTGGGCAGAGGATAGACCGGATCGGCTCAGTCAGTCGTCTGGGCTGCAACGGTGAGCTCCTACCTTGCTACTTCCCTGCAAGTTGCGTCCTCACCCCCATCCCCACACATGCCACCCGTTAGAGGTCCCTAGGTTTGTTACTCTGCACAGCTCTCCACCTTGCTGACAGTCTTCAGGGCCAAGGCAACCTGTCAGGAAATGTCACATGGGCGCTTCATCATACCCTCACAGGTCACCACTGACCTTCCATCAGGGGGGTCAAATGCACTTCGGGCTGCAGACTGCCTGTTGTTTGGCTGCTCCCCCCTTCATAGAGGAGAGAGCATTTCCTCTCTGTTTCCTCCACCCTGAATTGTCAAAGGCAAAGGGCACAATCGCCCCACTTGTGTGGAAAGTGAAGCCCAGTGAGATTGCTTTTTCCAGAGCCGTAAACGTCAATATCCTTTGTGGGACTGTATGTGGAGGTGGTGCATGGCATGGGGAGGGAAGCTCAGTCCCTGCCTCAGTTTCTCTCTCTCCCATGTCTGACATCGCCCTGTCTCTTCTCCCCACAGTGCTGAAACGGTATTAGGATGAGCTCCTAGCTGCAGACACCTGCTCCTGACTCCAACTCTGGGACCCCTTTAGAAGTGATCCTATTTATTTATTTATTTTTATTTATTTATTTGGTTGTTTTCTACAAGACTGTTTCTTACCTTGAGCACAGACTTTTCACAGTGTAATAAACACAGCGTATTTCTTGCTTTTCAAATGATTTGTCTCTCTGTGTTTCAGTCAGTCTCTTGTCTTTTTCAGTTTGTGTTTTGTTGGTTTGCTTGGTTTTTGTTTTTGTTTTTGACATGGGATCATATACATAGACCTGGCTGCCTTGGAACTTGCTCTGTAGACCAGGCTGATCTTGAACTCACAGAAATCTGCCTGTCTCTACCTCCTGAGTGCTGGGATTAAAGGCATGACACTATGCTTGAGTCTCTCATCTTAACAAGAGAAAGAATAAGCCCCACAAAATAGCATTTTCTGCAAGGTCCCAAGGCATCTTAATGGTGGAATGAAGACACAGCTCAAGGGCTGGGCCAGGGAGGTGTCTGGGCTTTCCTTTCCTTCCTGGATTTTTACTTTGTGAGACATCAATTCACACTGGAAACACCTGAGACTCCTCACAGAATTTGTTTTTCAAATTGTGTATTTGATTCCCGGGTGCAGAATAGGAGGATGGGCATCCTGGCATTTACCCCACTTCCTTGCCTAGAACTTCATCATCAAACACTGACTAATCATTGCTGTTTCTAGGAAACTCAGCAAGGATGTCAGGGATGAAGGCTCTGTGTGTGTGTGTGTGTGTGTGTGTGTGTGCTCAAGGATGCATATTTGTGTGTGTTTACGTGTGTGCAGATGTATATGTGAGTACATGCATGTATACCTCTGTGTGTGTGTGTGTGTGTGTGATGCTAACTCACACCCTTCCTGATGGGAGTGAACCTTCCATCCTATCATAAATCTCTGCATCAAACCTCCAGTTCCTGATGATCTCATCTGAGAAAAGAGCCTTCTAAGCCTCAACCAACAGTTCCAGGGTCCTGACAGAGGCCCAGCCTTTTGGAGACCCCTACCCAGGAGACACACTGCCACTTCTCTGTCATCCTAGAGGCAGGAACAACCCTCAGAATCCTATTGTGTGAACTGGGTTGAAGTTGTGGCATGGTTGGCACATACTTGTAATTCCAGCACTTGGGAAACAGAGACAGGAAGGACCAGGATTCAAGGTGATCCATCCTTAGCTACATAGTGAGTTTGAGGCTAGGCTGGGATACATGAGATCCTGTCTCAATTCCTCCCCTCACCCCAAAGCATCCTACTGTGTGGTCTTACTTAACAGGGGCAATGTTATTATAAGTGAACATTCATGTGCAGGTTTTTGTTTGGATTTTTATTGTTGTTGAGATAGGGTCTCACTTTCTAGCTCTGGCTGGCATAGAACTCATAGAGATCCACCTTTCCCTGCCTAAGTACAGGGCTAAAAACGGATTAGAACACTGTGCCCCCAGCTCTTCAACTGTCTCCTCCTCTTCCTTTTGATGTCCCCTGTCTTCCCTCCCCTATTCCTGCCCCTCCCTCCCAACCAGAGCTGAGTATAGAACCCAGGGCCTTGTGCTTGCTAGGCAAGCACTCTACCACTGAGCTAAATCCCCAACCCCAGCCTCCTCTCCCTTTTCAGTTACCTTTGTTTGTTTATTGGGGTGGGAGATGTGTAAGATGTTCATACACCACGGCAGCGTATGGAGGTCAAAGAGCAGCTTGCAAGAGTTGGTTCTCTCCCTCCACAAGTGGGTTCCAGGCTTCTAACTCAGCATCAGTCTGGAGGGCAGGCATCTCTGCCCACTGAGCCACCTTGCTGGCCTCAGTGTCATCTTTTCTATGTGTGTCCTGTGCCTCCGTCTTGTACCCAGAGTCCTGTCCTTTGGATGTCACACATCAGCTGAGGGACAAAGGTCCTTGTGGCCAGTATTGTAGTGGCATTTTCTGGGTGAGAAAACAGACTCAGAAAAGCCAGGCACCCTGAGACATGAGGGGACAGCTGAGTCACTGCTACATCTGCCTGGCCTTCAGCAGAGCTCTGGAGAGTGTCATTTAAAGTGACAGAGGGCTGAGAGGTGGCTCTTTGTGTGACCTCTCACTTTGATTCTGCGGTGCACTCAAGGCTGTGGCAGTTAAGACTTTTTTAAAGTGAGGTTTTTGAGTAGCTTATTTCCCAAGAATCCATGAGTCATCCTCTTCTAATGTTTTTGTTGCCTCGTTAACAAGGCAGGCACAGTCCTCATGACTCTGAGAAGAAACTGGACACCCTTCCTCTGGCAGGTGGGGATACCAAGGCACAGAGCAGTCATGTGATTTGCTCAGAGTCTTGAAGTTAGACTGCGGCAGAACCATGTTCTCACTCAGGGTCATGCTCTCTTTTTCCAAGCAAAAGTCCTGGAAAAGGGACCCCAGAGGGACATCTTGATGAGCGCCCAGGAGGATTCTAGTAGGAAGTACTGTAGCGAACATCCTTTAAAGCCAGGCTGCTGGCTGTGGTGAGACTCAGCCACAGAACACTTGTCTTGCATGGGTTTAATGCCCAACACTCTCCTCTGTCTCACCAATAAGTCTAAATACATTTTTTAAAAATTTAAGAAAGAGCCAGGCAGTGGTGGCTCATGCTTTTAATCCCAGCACTTGGGAGGCAGAGGCAGGTGGATATCTTAAGTTTGAGGTCAGCCTGATTTATAGAGGAAGTTCCAGGAAAGCTAGGGCTGGCTACACAGAGACACCCTGTCCAAAAAAACCAAAAACATAATAATAATAATAAAATAAATCATAGTCGAGGGGGCTAGGAGATACATAGCTCAGGTGGTAAGGTGCCTGTCATATTAGCGTAAGGACCTGAGTTTGGTTGGATCCTCAGCACCCACATACAAGCTGGACATGGCAGCATATATCCTAGCTGGATCCTAGCTCTGGGAAGACAGAGACAGGAGGCTTATTTCTGTTCAGCCTAGGTGATTTGTGAGCTCCAGGTTCAGTGAGAGACTCTGTCTCAAAAACCACAGTAAAGAACACTCAAAGAAGGTACCTAACATTGACCTCAGGGCTTCACACATGTGTACATACATGCCAACACACTGGCACACACATAAACATGTACACATACATACACCACTCACTCATAAACATAATAAACAAACAAATAATTGGAGCAGGACCGACCAGGGAATGTGGCTGTTGCTAAAGGGCTTTGCCAGTAGCAGAAGCCATGAGTTCAATCCCTGGTGCCTGCAGCTTTGTTTGTTATATGTGCCTATAATCCTAGAACTCAGGAGATGGAGGATCAGATGTTCTAGGCCCTCCTCTGCTACAAGGTGAGGATGCTGGTTAAGGATTTTTGTCAACTTGGCATGGGTCAGGGTCATCTGGGAAGAAGGACTTCACCTGCAGAGATGCCTCCATCAGAATGGCTTCTTGGCAAATCTATGGAGCATCTTTTGACTACTGATCAAGTGGCAGGGCTTAGCCCATTGTGGGCAGGGTCCTGGGTGCTGTAAGAAAGCAGACTGAGCAAGCCATGAGGAGTGCATCAGTGAGCAGCGCTCCTTCGTGGTCTCTACTTCAGTTCCTGCCTCCAGGTTACTGCCCTGCTTAAGTTGTGGCTTGGCTTCCCTCAGAAATGGACTGTGCCTGGGATGTGCAAGCCAAATCAACTCTTCCCACCACCAAGTTGATTTTGGTTACAGTGCTTTATCACAGCAATAGAAGGCAAATGAAGGCAGCAAGTTCAAGGCCAGCTTGAAGTTGCAAGCTTTCCTCAAAAGGAATAAAAACACCCAGTAAGCAGGTAAAAAACCTTCTTAATCAGGGACACACTGAAATTACACAGACACAGAGGCACACAGGTGTACACATACAGGTACACACAGACACATGCGCATAGGCATGCACACACAGGTACTCAGGCACACACACATACAGGTGTACACACACACACACACACACACACACACACACCTCCAGCCTTCCTAATGCTTCTTCTTGGGGCTGCAGCAATTCTCAGTTTCCTTGGATGCTTGCCATCCACCTGTTCCCTTCAAACAGCTGCTGGGCTTTCTGTCTCCACAAACGCTCCTCAGTCAGGTCTTTCCAGGAAAGAATTGTCTGTGGGACAGGCCCAAGGAGGCTCAGCCCACAGCTTCAGAGCTATCGACCACTTAAGGAGGGTATGGAGGGCAGCTTGGCCCCGCCTTGGGTGTTAGGCCCCGTCTTGGGTGTTGAAGGTGCAGAGAGCATTGGCTGCAATCTTCTGGCCCAAATCTGTGACTCCCCAAGGAGTCACTGAGGACAAAATGTAAAGAAAAATATTGCATGTTCCTCTTTTCACCAAGTCAGCGCCAAACCAGTAACTTGGCCTCTGGTCTGCATTCATGGTGGATCTCTCCATGTCTGTCTTCTAGGACTTTCCATCTACTGACTTACCTTAGCCCCCCCCCCCCAGCTCCACCCACTAGTGGCAGACCAACACCTACCTGTTGGAGCTGATTGTCAGAAACACCTAAAAGCACATCCAGATCTATGTGCACCACTGCATCCAGAT